AACAATCCTTCTGGAACACCATAGAAGTCATACGGGAGAGCGTCCTTACTCATGTTCGGAATGTGGGAAATCTTTCATTCAGAAAGGACACCTTGTGAAACACCAGATGATTCACACAGATGAGTGTCCTTATTCATGTTCAGAGTGCGGGAGATGTTTCAGATGGAAAAGTGCACTTGTTCCACACCGGAGAATTCACATGGGTTAGCAAACTTTTTTTAATGTTCTGTAAGAGTGACATATGCGTTATGTGGCGATGATAACCACTAGAGGGCTACAATGGTGAGCGTTAATATTAATACATTTGATTTTTCTTTTACTTCAGCTTCATTTAGACTGTTATTTACTGTGCAGCTCGGTCCATAGAGAGTCATCCATTGGTGATGGGAATGAGCTTGGATCATAGAGAGTCCTCCATTAGTGATGGGAATGAGCTCAGTTCATAGAGAGTCCTCCATTGGTGATGGGAATGAGCTCAGATCATAGAGAGTCCTCCATTGGTGATGGGAATGAGCTCAGGTCATAGAGAGTCCTCCATTGGTGATGGGAATGGTCAGTAGGAAGAATTGAAAGTGTTAACACAGCGCTAAAGGTGCGTGAATCAATTAAATACCACTGTTAAATAAAAATCAAAATAAAATTCGTATTAAAGCTCAATCCCATAAAGTGAGTCATGAAGGTGAAACATATATTAATTGTTTAAGTGAAAACCTAAACATTCACAGTGAAGAAATAATTCAATAGTGCAGAAAGATTAACCACTGAGGAGTCTTCAAAGGAGACCTAATCCGTGTTTAAATAACATTTAAGGCATATAGCTACTTATGTGATACAATGTAACCAAATATCAGTGAGTGGGGGAAAAAACCCAGCAATCCAGATAGTGACTAATGACACAAACTACTCAGTTTAAGAAAGTGTTCCAGTGAAAGAAGAAATGAAAAAACTTTCTCCGCCTCCTCGCCCTTCACCGTCGGCCGATAGTCATGTAAGGGACCCAGGCTGCCCGGGCCCCTTACATGAGTATTCACCGTACCCCGCCTGATGGCTGCCCTGAGCAAGGCATAGCAGTTAAGACGGTCATAGGCCTGAAAGATAGTACGGGTTCCCTGGTGAAGTCCAGATCAGGGATTCTGGAGATCGTTGGGTCATATTATGCAGACCTTCTGGGAAGAAAAGACCTTAGTCGGGACAGGATGGAAAGCTTTTTGGTTTCTACTCCAGGACTGGGAAATGGTGCATTGCTTATGATGGATTTGACAGAACCAATCTCAGTGGATGAGGTAGTTCATGCCATAGACTGGCTGGCTACCGAAAAAAACCGCCTGGGCCAGATGGATTGACGGTTGAATTTTACAAGTGTTTTAAGTCCATTCTGGCTCCCTTTTTAGCGGAGGTCTTCAACAATTGTCTAGAAGAGGGTGCGCTCCCTCCCTCCCTGAGGCGATCGGCTGTGATTCTTCTGTCAAAAGGTAAAGACCCCTCAATGATTGAGAACTGGCACCCCATCGGTCTTCTCAATGTTGATAGAAAGATTTTGGCGAAGATCGTTTTTTTTTTGGCGCTTGTCGTCAGTAGCAGGCGACTCGTTGTCCAATCATCAGCACTGTTCGGTCCGAGGTAGACGTACATTTTCAGCAGTTTTGGCTTTTTCGGGAGGCTTTGGAGCGATGCGGGCCTGCTGGATGGAGAAAGTACTTGCTGGCATTGGATCAGGCAAAGGCCTTTGATCGAGTGAATCATGAATATCTGTGGTTGCTACTTGGTAAATACGGCCTGCAGGGGAGGTTTATAGATTGGTTAAAAACATTATATCGAGGGGCCGAGAGCTTCCCACTTGTCAATGGTTGGATTGGACGGCCCTTTAAAGGAGATCTATGAGGGGGGAGGGGCTTTTCACTCCTCCTCACAGTTCTAGCGGACCTGTGACAATGAGACTGTCACAGGTCGGCTCAGTAGATCGGGAGGTGAGAGAACACTCCTTTAAGGTTGACTCTGGTGTGCGCCAGGGGTGTCCTTTGAGCCCCCTGCTATATGCTTTCGCAATTGACCCCTTCATAAGAAGGCTAGAAGGTGGATCTTTGTGCGGGGTGCCTTTGGGCATTGCTGGTGTGCCGCCTTTGAAGGTCGTGGCCTATACCGACGATGCGTCCGTCATTATCTCTGGGACTGAGGAGGCGCAGGAGGTGGTCTCTGAGATAGAGCAGTACACGGAGGCTTCTTGCTCTAAAGTCAACCATGAAAAGAGTGAAGTTTTCCGGATGGGTGAGGAGGGCGAAAGCTTCGAACTTCCGGATGCCTTCCCAGAGCCCCAGCAGGAAATTAAAGTGTTGGGCATTAAATTTGGTCCTGGCGACTATGGCCGTCGAAATTGGGAAAGCAGGTTGGTGATTGCCAATGCCAAAGTAGCAAGCTGGAAGAGATGGAGGCTTTCCTTGAGGGAGAGGTTGACTTGATCAAAACTTACCTGATCCCGATCTTTTTATATGTCGGCTTCGTCTGTATCTTGCCGGAGTCTCTCTACGCAAGGGTCTAAAGCTGTTTCTTCCAACTGTTATGGGGAAATAGGCTGGACCTGATCAAACGCAATGTAACTTATCTGTCCAGGCGGGAGGGTGGTCTAGGAATGGTCAACCCGATAGTTTTCTTTTTTTTGCTTTTCCTAAAGCACAATCTTGGTAACGTGTTGGCAGAGACCCCACCTGGATGGGTGGGTATTTTTCAGTCTTGGTTTAGGCCTTTTCTGCAATGCTGGGAAGATGGCGGGTCAGTGAAAAGTCTGAGAGTCCGACATGGCAAGCTCCCGGCTTATGTTGCCCCGTGTCTCTGAGAATGCTTCGGCAGTGGCAGGTGACAGTAGAGGATATTAGGACCCTTCCCAGGAAGCTTCTGGAGATGAGGGATTTGGCCTCAGTAGAGGATGACAGTAGAGGATATTAGGTCCCTTCCCAGGAAGCTTCTGGAGAAGAGGGTTTTGGCCTCATTAGAGGATGACAGTAGAGGATATTAGGTCCCTTCCCAGGAAGCTTCTGGAGAAGAGGGTTTTGGCCTCATTAGAGGATGACAGTAGAGGATATTAGGTCCCTTCCCAGGAAGCTTCTGGAGAAGAGGGTTTTGGCCTCATTAGAGGATGACAGTAGAGGATATTAGGTCCCTTCCCAGGAAGCTTCTGGAGAAGAGGGTTTTGGCCTCATTAGAGGATGACAGTAGAGGATATTAGGTCCCTTCCCAGGAAGCTTCTGGAGAAGAGGGTTTTGGCCTCATTAGAGGATGACAGTAGAGGATATTAGGTCCCTTCCCAGGAAGCTTCTGGAGAAGAGGGTTTTGGCCTCATTAGAGGATGACAGTAGAGGATATTAGGTCCCTTCCCAGGAAGCTTCTGGAGAAGAGGGTTTTGGCCTCTGCTTTCAGTGTGTCACTGGCCTTAAAGGATTGCCCAGGCTCCGCTTTGAGGGAGGTGTTGCATTGAATTAATTTGGAGAGAATCCCTTTAAAGTTTAGGGATCAAGCCTGGCTCGCCTTCCATGGAAGGCTCTATGTGAGAGGGAACCTGAAGCATCGCCCTGTGGATGATCGGGATTGTCCTAGAGCGGAGTGTGTTGGTAAAGTGGAGTCTATGGACCACTTTTTGCTCCAGTGTCCCTATATCATAGAGGTGTATAAAAGGGTGGGGAGGGCTCTGAGTATCCCCTTCCTCCCCCAGATGAGTTATGCGGAGTGGGTGTACGGGGCATTCCAGACTCGCTGGGATTTTGATTTGGATACACTTTTTCTAGTTGTCCGTTACTCACGGTGTCAGATTACCCTGCGGCAGAAAGTCCTCTCTGTTGAGGTGGTGGTGCACGATGTTCTGGTTGAGGTTGGGAAGATTCGGGGTCTGGAGAAGGGTAGGGAGACTCAGGCGCTCTGGATAAGGGCGTGGAGGAATATCAGACCTGCCTTTGGTGAACTGTCCGTCTCTGGGTGAGGGGCTCTTCTTCTTCTTCTTTTTTACTTCCTTAGATTTTGTTGGTTTAGATCTTTTGAAGAAGGGCCTTGCCTGCAAGTCGCCGGCCGCGTCCCCGTGCACCCCGTGCGCTGAGAAGGGCTCCGGTTCTTTGCACATTACTGAACCGCGGCGCTAGGCGTTTGCGTACCGCGGCACCAGCGGAGCAGCCGCCCAGGCGGAGGGTGCCGCCCTAGGCAAACGCCTAGTTTGCCTCACGGTAAATACGCCCCTGTCTGTCTTGTGTATTCCTGAGTACAAGATACTAAATTCAACAGGTCTAAGAGGTCCAGAAAGCTGGAGACACATATGTCCCCTTCTGAGCCATCCATAAGCATATCCAATTCAGTGTCTACAGAAAGCTAACGCACAATCATTTCGGCGTTATCAGATAGTGATGCGTAAGAATATTAAACTATGGTGATAGTTTGGGAGGGGCGGAGGAGAAGGTCATAAAATGCTCAGCCCTCCCTTGTCCTTCTTAATTGGCTTATTGGCCGCCTCAGTGACATCCCCCTAGAGCAGGGATGTCCAAACTGCGGCTCTCCAGCTGCGGTGGAAACTACGAATCCCATGAGGCTTTGCAAGATTCTCACAGCCACAGGCATGACTCCCGGTGAGAGATGCTTCATGGGATTTTGTAGTTTCACCCACAGCTGGAGGACCCGGAGTTTGGACACCCCTGCCCTAGAGGAACGACAAAAGGTGGCTGCGCAGGGCAGTCAAGGAGCTCTCGTAACATCAAGAAGGAGACTCTCAGAACACCAAAGCTTGTTCACCATTCAAGAAGAGTTCCCCTTTAACTTCAAGAATCTTTGGAAGCCTTTCGTGTAGTGAGAGCCATTCGGATCCACCTGAACCGGACTCTGCTAGAACCTATTAAACCCACTGATGTATTTCTGTCTCTCTTTATCAATATCTGTTTCTGTATATTTTTCTTTTATTAAAGGACGATCTTAAAAATCGTTAAGGTTATCTCTACACTCTAAATTAGAACTTAAAGTATCCTTGTCTCTGTGAGGAAACAAGGACCTAAATTCCCATCACCAATGGATGACTCTCTATGAACCTTTATATTAAGGAATGGAGATGGTGTACAGTATCTCCTCCTCATTTGTTGGTCACATGACGTCATATTGTGGAATGGAGATGGACTTTCATATGGTGTACAGTATCTCCTCTTCATTTGTTGGTCACATGACGTTATATTGAGGAATGGAGATGGACCTTCATATGGTGTCCAGTATCTCCTCCTCATTTGTTGGGGACATGACGTTATATTGAGGAATGGAGATGGACCTTCATATGGTGTCCAGTATCTCCTCCTCATTTGTTGGGGACATGACGTTATATTGAGGAATGGAGATGGACCTTCATATGGTGTCCAGTATCTCCTCCTCATTTGTTGGGGACATGACGTTATATTGAGGAATGGAGATGGACCTTCATATGGTGTCCAGTATCTCCTCCTCATTTGTTGGGGACATGACGTTATATTGAGGAATGGAGATGGACCTTCATATGGTGTCCAGTATCTCCTCCTCATTTGTTGGGGACATGACGTTATATTGAGGAATGGAGATGGACCTTCATATGGTGTCCAGTATCTCCTCCTCATTTGTTGGGGACATGACGTTATATTGAGGAATGGAGATGGACCTTCATATGGTGTCCAGTATCTCCTCCTCATTTGTTGGGGACATGACGTTATATTGAGGAATGGAGATGGACCTTCATATGGTGTCCAGTATCTCCTCCTCATTTGTTGGGGACATGACGTTATATTGAGGAATGGAGATGGACCTTCATATGGTGTCCAGTATCTCCTCCTCATTTGTTGGGGACATGACGTTATATTGAGGAATGGAGATGGACCTTCATATGGTGTCCAGTATCTCCTCCTCATTTGTTGGGGACATGACGTTATATTGAGGAATGGAGATGGACCTTCATATGGTGTCCAGTATCTCCTCCTCATTTGTTGGGGACATGACGTTATATTGAGGAATGGAGATGGACCTTCATATGGTGTCCAGTATCTCCTCCTCATTTGTTGGGGACATGACGTTATATTGAGGAATGGAGATGGACCTTCATATGGTGTCCAGTATCTCCTCCTCATTTGTTGGGGACATGACGTTATATTGAGGAATGGAGATGGACCTTCATATGGTGTCCAGTATCTCCTCCTCATTTGTTGGGGACATGACGTTATATTGAGGAATGGAGATGGACCTTCATATGGTGTCCAGTATCTCCTCCTCATTTGTTGGGGACATGACGTTATATTGAGGAATGGAGATGGACCTTCATATGGTGTCCAGTATCTCCTCCTCATTTGTTGGGGACATGACGTTATATTGAGGAATGGAGATGGACCTTCATATGGTGTCCAGTATCTCCTCCTCATTTGTTGGGGACATGACGTTATATTGAGGAATGGAGATGGACCTTCATATGGTGTCCAGTATCTCCTCCTCATTTGTTGGGGACATGACGTTATATTGAGGAATGGAGATGGACCTTCATATGGTGTCCAGTATCTCCTCCTCATTTGTTGGGGACATGACGTTATATTGAGGAATGGAGATGGACCTTCATATGGTGTCCAGTATCTCCTCCTCATTTGTTGGGGACATGACGTTATATTGAGGAATGGAGATGGACCTTCATATGGTGTCCAGTATCTCCTCCTCATTTGTTGGGGACATGACGTTATATTGAGGAATGGAGATGGACCTTCATATGGTGTCCAGTATCTCCTCCTCATTTGTTGGGGACATGACGTTATATTGAGGAATGGAGATGGACCTTCATATGGTGTCCAGTATCTCCTCCTCATTTGTTGGGGACATGACGTTATATTGAGGAATGGAGATGGACCTTCATATGGTGTCCAGTATCTCCTCCTCATTTGTTGGGGACATGACGTTATATTGAGGAATGGAGATGGACCTTCATATGGTGTCCAGTATCTCCTCCTCATTTGTTGGGGACATGACGTTATATTGAGGAATGGAGATGGACCTTCATATGGTGTCCAGTATCTCCTCCTCATTTGTTGGGGACATGACGTTATATTGAGGAATGGAGATGGACCTTCATATGGTGTCCAGTATCTCCTCCTCATTTGTTGGGGACATGACGTTATATTGAGGAATGGAGATGGACCTTCATATGGTGTCCAGTATCTCCTCCTCATTTGTTGGGGACATGACGTTATATTGAGGAATGGAGATGGACCTTCATATGGTGTCCAGTATCTCCTCCTCATTTGTTGGGGACATGACGTTATATTGAGGAATGGAGATGGACCTTCATATGGTGTCCAGTATCTCCTCCTCATTTGTTGGGGACATGACGTTATATTGAGGAATGGAGATGGACCTTCATATGGTGTCCAGTATCTCCTCCTCATTTGTTGGGGACATGACGTTATATTGAGGAATGGAGATGGACCTTCATATGGTGTCCAGTATCTCCTCCTCATTTGTTGGGGACATGACGTTATATTGAGGAATGGAGATGGACCTTCATATGGTGTCCAGTATCTCCTCCTCATTTGTTGGGGACATGACGTTATATTGAGGAATGGAGATGGACCTTCATATGGTGTCCAGTATCTCCTCCTCATTTGTTGGGGACATGACGTTATATTGAGGAATGGAGATGGACCTTCATATGGTGTCCAGTATCTCCTCCTCATTTGTTGGGGACATGACGTTATATTGAGGAATGGAGATGGACCTTCATATGGTGTCCAGTATCTCCTCCTCATTTGTTGGGGACATGACGTTATATTGAGGAATGGAGATGGACCTTCATATGGTGTCCAGTATCTCCTCCTCATTTGTTGGGGACATGACGTTATATTGAGGAATGGAGATGGACCTTCATATGGTGTCCAGTATCTCCTCCTCATTTGTTGGGGACATGACGTTATATTGAGGAATGGAGATGGACCTTCATATGGTGTCCAGTATCTCCTCCTCATTTGTTGGGGACATGACGTTATATTGAGGAATGGAGATGGACCTTCATATGGTGTCCAGTATCTCCTCCTCATTTGTTGGGGACATGACGTTATATTGAGGAATGGAGATGGACCTTCATATGGTGTCCAGTATCTCCTCCTCATTTGTTGGGGACATGACGTTATATTGAGGAATGGAGATGGACCTTCATATGGTGTCCAGTATCTCCTCCTCATTTGTTGGGGACATGACGTTATATTGAGGAATGGAGATGGACCTTCATATGGTGTCCAGTATCTCCTCCTCATTTGTTGGGGACATGACGTTATATTGAGGAATGGAGATGGACCTTCATATGGTGTCCAGTATCTCCTCCTCATTTGTTGGGGACATGACGTTATATTGAGGAATGGAGATGGACCTTCATATGGTGTCCAGTATCTCCTCCTCATTTGTTGGGGACATGACGTTATATTGAGGAATGGAGATGGACCTTCATATGGTGTACAGTGTCTCCTCCTCATGTGTTGGTCACATGACATTATATTGAGGAATGGACACACAATGAAACAGTCACCATCCGGACAAATCTTTTGTCTGTTATCGGATAATGTTCCAGAATCACCTTTCTGCACTTATCGTTGGCTGACACGGTACAATATTCTATTACTATAAACCATAACAGACATCACAGTGAATATGGAGGACGGACATGATGGGGGAGTAACTGGGTGTAAATATATATTAATATCCTTTTCTGCCGCCAGTTCCAGCAATGTCTCCTCTCTACTTCCTCCCAAATCACCTCTCACCCGGAACTTCCTACTTACGTGACATCACTTCCTGTCTGCACCTTACATCACTTCCAGGTTTTACATCACTTTCTGTTTGCAAGGTTGCTTCACTTCCTGCGATGGCTTCCTGTCTACGCCTCGCATCACTTTCTCTTTTTGCGTTCCGTGGACAGTAAGCGAGATCTCCTCCTTTGTAAAGAATATAAATATTGGAGCTTGTGTTTGTTTTTTCGCTGAATACTAAATTTGTACATATTTAAAGTCAAACAACATGAAACTTAAAATTATTATAGAGGATTTATAATTAAATTAATTTGTTAAGCCAGATTGAGCTACGGTGTTATTCCAGGGAAATCTCTTACATTCCACTTCCGAGGAGCATTTGACGTCGGAGGTTGTTGGTAGTTGTTGTGTCAATTGAATTAGTGAGTCGGTTGAAACGTGAATTTGAGAGTTGAGGACTTTAGTTTTAGAAATACTTTAAAGTATCCGAATGTTCTTGGAAGCAAATATCATTGTAGGTCTCGTTCAGGGTAAAGAATGTGAGATCTTTGTGGTCACATGACCCGGTGTTTGATGAAGCAAATGTAATTAAACATGTGATACATCGAATCAAAGCGATTGAGTGAAATAGAAGGAGCAGCATGGATGGAATAAAACTTGTCACGGAAAAACCATACTGGGAATAAAAACCATACTGGGAACATGAACTCTACTGGAAGAACCGTACAGAGAAGAACAACCGTACCGAGAGGAACCGTACTGAGGAGAAGAATGGTACTGAGAAGGAGAAACAAACTGAGAGGATGAACCGTACTGAGAAGGAGAACCGTACTGAGAAGAACCGTGCTGAGAAGAAGAACCGTACTGAGAAGAACCATTCGGAGAAGAAGAAGAAGAACCATGCTGAGAAGGAGAACGGTGCTGAGAAGGAGAACGGTGCTGAGGAGGAGAACCGTGCTGAGGAGAAGAACCGTGCTGAGAAGAAGAAGAACCGTGCTGAGAAGAACCGTGCTGAGAAGAACCGTGCTGAGGAGAAGAACTGTGCTGAGGAGGAGAACCGTGCTGAGGAGGAGAACCGTACTGAGGAGGAGAAGCGTACTGAGGAGAAGAACCGTGCTGAGAAGAAGAACCGTGCTGAGAAGGAGAACCGTGCTGAGGAGAAGAACCGTGCTGAGGAGAAGAACCGTGCTGAGGAGAAGAACCGTGCTGAGAAGAAGAACCGTGCTGAGAATAAGAACCGTGCTGAGAAGAAGAACCGTGCTGAGGAGGAGAACCGTGCTGAGAAGATGAACCGTAATGAGGAGAAGAACCGTGCTGAGGAGGAGAACCGTGCTGAGGAGAAGAACCGTGCCGAGGAGAAGAACCGTGCCGAGGAGAAGAACCGTGCCAAGGAGAAGAACCGTGCCGAGGAGAAGAACCGTGCCGAGGAGAAGAACCGTGCCGAGGAGAAGAACCGTGCCGAGGAGAAGAACCGTGCCGAGGAGAAGAACCGTGCTGAGGAGGAGAAACGTGCTGAGGAGAAGAACCGTACCGTATCCTTAGAATGTCATCTGACACATGTGTGGAACTGGACCTTCTGACCTGACCTCATTCCTATCACCAATGGATGACTCTCTATGAACTGAGCTCATTCCCATCACCAATGGATGACTCTCTATGAACTGAGCTCATTCCCATCACCAATGGAGGACTCTCTATGAACTGAGCTCATTCCCATCACCAATGGATGACTCTCTATGACCCGAGCTCATTCCCATCACCAATGGAGGACTCTCTATGACCTGAGCTCATTCCCATCACCAATGGATGACTCTCTATGACCCGAGCTCATTCCCAACACCAATGGAGGACTCTCTATGAACTGAGCTCATTCCCATCACCAATGGAGGACTCTCTATGAACCGAGCTCATTCCCATCACCAATGGAGGACTCTCTATGAACTGAGCTCATTCCCATCACCAATGGAGGACTCTCTTTGAACTGAGCTCATTCCCATCACCAATGGAGGACTCTCTATGAACTGAGCTCATTCCCATCACCAATGGAGGACTCTCTATGATCTGAGCTCATTCCCATCACCAATGGAGGACTCTCTATGAACTGAGCTCATTCCCATCACCAATGGAGGACTCTCTATGAACTGAGCTCATTCCCATCACCAATGGATTACTCTCTATGAACTGAGCTCATTCCCATCACCAATGGATGACTCTCTATGACCTGAGCTCATTCCCATCACCAATGGTGGACTCTCTATGACCTGAGCTCATTCCCATCACCAATGGAGGACTCTCTATGGTATGCGCTCATTCCGATCATGAATCATCTAAGAATTATGTTAATTTCGAAAAAAAATGGACTCAAAACAAAATATTTTAAAATGTGGAACTTTATTTATTTGACAAAGCAGTTAACCCAGCAATTCTTTCCATATATGGATATATATTGGCAGAGTTGAGTTGTACGGGGCCGTCTATGTGAGTGCGGGACAAGTCAGCACTGTGTGTGTACAGGAGCTGATTGCCAGAATGGAATCCCTGCAGACCGATAACTGCCCAAATGTTTCCCCTCCCCCAAATATGCCAATTTGAACATAAGATTATTAGACTGTATAAATTCTGGTGTGCAATAACAGATAATACAAGAAGGATGCTCACTGTTATTTATCTGTTGGTTATTCTTGCCATTCCCCATATGTCCGTCGAACATTAAAAAGGTTGTTAGTCCACATGAATTTTCTGGTGTCGAACGAGTGCCGTTTTCTGAGTAAAACATTTCCCGCACTCTGAACACGAATAAGGCCGCTCACCCGTGTGGATGATCTGGTGTCTAAGAAGTTTTTCTTTCCGAATGAAACCTTTCCCGCACACCGAACATGAATAAGGGCGCTCCCCTGTGTGGCTTCTCTGGTGCCTAACAAGTTTTTCTTTCTGAGCAAAAGATTTCCCGCATTCTAAACATGAATAGGGACGCACACCCGTGTGAATTTTCTGGTGTTGAAGAAGGTTTCCTTTGTCCTTGAAGCCTTTTCCGCACTCTGAACATGAATAGGGGCGTTCATCTGTGTGACTTCTCTGGTGCAAAAGAAGTCTCTCTTTCTGAATGAAACATTTCCCACACTCTGTACACGAAAAAGGACGCTCTCCTGTGTGAGTTCTCTGGTGATTAAGAAGGTGTGCTTTGCGAATGAAAGATTTCCCACATTCGGAACACGAGAAAGGACGCTCACCTGTGTGACTTCTCCGATGATTTACAAGTTCTCCTTTCTGAATAAAACATCTCCCACATTCCTCACATGAATAGGGACGCTCACCCGTGTGAATTCTCCGGTGTTTAAGAAAATTTCCTTTATCATTGAAACTTTTCCCGCACTCTGCACATGAGAAAGGACGCTCCCCTGTGTGAACTCTCTGGTGACTAATAAAGTTTCCTTTCTGAGTGAAGCTCTTTCCACACTCTGAACATGAGAAAGGACGCTCATTCTTGTGACATCTCTGGTGTATAACAAGCTGTCTTTTCTGAGTGAAACCTTTCCCACATTCTAAACATAAATAAGGGCGCTCACCTGTATGACTTCTCTGGTGAATCGCAAGGTACCTTTTCTGAAAGAAACTTTTGCCGCACTCTAAACACGAATAAGGGCGCTCACCGGTGTGAATTTTCTGGTGATTATAAAGGTTTCCTTTCTGAATGAAACTTTTCCCGCACTCTGGACACGAGAAAGGACGCACGCCTGTGTGAACTCTCTGATGGTTAAGAAGCTCTACTTTCTGAATGAAGCTTTTCCCACACTCTGAGCAAGAAAAGGGACGCTCCCCCGTGTGAATTCTCTGGTGCTTAAGAAGGTTTCCTTTGTCGCCAAAACACTTTCCGCACTCTGAACATGAGAAAGGACGCTCACCGGTGTGACTCCTCTGGTGATTGAGAAAGTTTCCTTTCTGATTGAAACTTTTCCCACACTCTGAACACGAGAAAGGACGCTCGCTCTTGTGACCTCTCTGGTGTATAGGAAGCTCTCTTGCTTCTTTGAAAGATGTTGCAAACTCTGAATGTGACAATGAACCCTCTCCAGCGTGATCTCCTTCATGGCTTGAAGACGATTCCTCAGGATTAGATGGATCTCTTGATGTCTCTGAATGGGAAGGTCTATGATGTCCATTATACGTAATGGGATTCACTCCTGGAGAATGTTGTGTGAGGTCATCATCTTTTGCTTTATATTCTGAAGAGACCTTCTTCCAGACATAGTGTCCATCTGTTGGAAACCCAATTTTTAAATGTTATATTGTAAGTATTCTTCATGCCATTGACTCAAAATATCTTATATACTGAGGAATGGAGATGGACCTTCATATGGTGTCCAGTATCTCCTCCTCATTTGTTGGTCACATGACGTTATATTGAGGAATGGAGATGGACCTTCATATGGTGTACAGTATCTCCTCCTCATTTGTTGGTCACATGACGTTATATTGAGGAATGGAGATGGACCTTCATATGGTGTACAGTATCTCCTCCTCATTTGTTGGTCACATGACGTTATATTGAGGAATGGAGATGGACCTTCATATGGTGTACAGTATCTCCTCCTCATTTGTTGGTCACATGACGTTATATTGAGGAATGGAGATGGACCTTCATATGGTGTACAGTATCTCCTCCTCATTTGTTGGTCACATGACGTTATATTGGGGAATGGAGATGGACCTTCACATGGTGTACAGTATCTCCTCCTCATTTGTTGGGATCTTGGATAGTGTTGAAATTACATTCTTCTAGAAATCACTGAAGCACTGGATATTTTTTTTTGTGGGAGGGGGAGGGGTGTATAAATGCATGTTTCTAATTTTCAACTCTTGCAATTATCTAAATACATACTTTATCCTTATAAACGTAAAATAAATCTTCATTTTCCTTTTACTTACTGAAGGCGGTATAAAGAGAAGATTCCTCCTGTTTACTCTTCACAATCATCTCCCCCTCCTCCATAGACTGCTGAGCTCCACTCACCAACGTCTCTTCTTCTTCCTCTTTAACCTCAACTTTCATGTCTTTCAGTTTTCCACCCTAAACACCAAAAAATGATTTAAAAAAATACAAACTGGAAAAATTAGTTTCCAATAATAAAATATTGTACATATTATTCTCATGGTTTAGAATATTCTTCGAGTTCTATTGCCCAGACTCCTCTACCTGATCATGGTGGGGGATGGTGAGATCTTCCTGTGTGGAATCCCGGGAATACAGAGGACCTCCCTCCTCCATAGACTGCTGAGCTCCACTCACCAACGTCTCTTCTTCTTCTGTTTTAATTTCAACTTTGATGTCTTTCGGTTCTTCATCCTAAACCCCGAAGATGATGGAATATGTTTGTAAAAATAGGTACAAAAGATTACATAGGAGAATGTCCTCTCGTAGTTTAGAATATATTTAGGTCTACATGGTCAGTCCCACCTACCTGATCATGGTGGGGGACGGTGAGATCTTCCTGGGTGGAGTCCCGGGAATACAGAGGGCGGGGACATCTCTCTGGTGGGTTCCTCTTACTGGATCCATCTGTAGGGAACACACACACTGACTGAATACATTGTTTCTATGTGTGTATCAGATGATGGGGGATGTAGGCGGAGCCTCCGTACTGCTCTCTCCTCTTACCCGGTGATGTGAGGGGCGGGGCATTCTCCATCACCACGTCCTTGTAGAGATCCCGGTGTCCTTCTAGATACTCCCACTCCTCCATGGAGAGATAGACAGAGACATCCTGACACCTTATAGGAACCTGACACACACAATGATACCGTCACCACCCAGACACAACCCTTGTCTGTTCCTGGATCATGTCCCAGAATTCCCGGCACCGCTCACCTCTCCCGTCAGCAGACCAGTGATCTTCTTGGCTCTGTTTTCTTCTGTTGTCAGGCGGTGAGGTGGAGGCTTGCGGGAGTTAATGGTTTCGCACATACGTAGGTTGAAAATAGACGCAAGCCCATGGAGTTCAACCTATGTCGGCCTATCGGACGTTTCCTTTACTTTGTCATTCGGTGTAAACAAAATATGATGAAGTTACCTCATGTATCTCCTCGCTAATCCCCTCCAAGTCCTCTGTCACTTGGAACTTCCTATTTTTTAGGTTGCGTCATTTCCTGTCTGCTTGTGACATCACTTCCCACGCTAATAAGTCGGATCGCCATCCTGTGGAGAATGTAAATACTGCAGCCAACGTTGTCCTTCTGCACATCAGAAGCTGCAGCACGGCGCCGCCTTCAATTTTGCTGAGTATATTACACCTCACGTAAATGTCGGCGATTCTTTCTATAAACACTTCAGACCTTGGTTCTCAACTGGTGGGTGGTGACCCAAAAGTGGGTTGAAACCCCCCTATGTTCAGTGGGTCACCACATGGCTTCCACTTTTCTAGGCAAGAGGCTCTTCTGCCTCCCCCTAGCTCAACACTGCCAGTTCTCGTGCCAAGCAGCCATTCAAAATATACTGCCCGGTGCCGAGTTGGGGTTGGCTGGGGCTATGGCCTCCAAGGAGCTCCATCCATACATTCATTGCTTACAGCTTGAGGTGGGGTTGGCTGGGGCTATGGCCTCCAAGGAGCTCCATCCATACATTCATTGCTTACAGCTTGAGGTGGGGTTGGCTGCGGCTATGGCCTCCAAGGAGCTCCATCCATACATTCATTGCTTACAGCTTGAGGTGGGGTTGGCTGGGGCTATGCTTCCAAGGAGCTCCATCCATACATTCATTGCTTACAGCTTGAGGTGGGGTTGGCTGGGGCTATGCTTCCAAGGAGCTCCATCCATACATTCATTGCTTACAGCTTGAGGTGGGGTTGGCTGGGGCTATGGCCTCCAAGGAATGTAATAAAATATTTCAATGTCCTTTTATGAGATCGGCTGATGTAGTCATAGTCTTTCCATCTAGAAAGTCATAGAGTCCGGAGTTTGATGAATCAAATATACCAAACACTACTCGTCTATGATATAATGTGTAGGTGGTTCGGGTGAAATGGAAACAACTGCTTAGAGGGCATATAACTCGGCACGGGACACCCACTAAGGAGTTTCAGTAGATAAGATATGTTTTCCTCAATAGTAAAAGTGAGCATGGAGACAAGACACGGGGTGGTCATCTTCTGTCATCGATGTTTCTCAAAGGGCAAGTTATTTTTATATCAGCTGACAAGTGCGGGAAACTGGACCTTCTGGACTCTGAAAACCACTGATGATGATGATGATGACGATGACTAAGAAATTATGGAACCCATCACTGTGACCATGAGGAGGATAGCCAAGGTGGTGGCAATTTTAATATTCTATATGGCTCCATACTGAGAAGGAGGACCGTGCTGAGAAGATGAACCGTACTGTATCCTTAGAATTTCATCTGACACATGAACTGGACCTTCTGACCTGACCTCATTCCCATCACCAATGGATTACTCTCTATGAACTGAGCTCATTCCCATCACCAATGGAGGACTCTCTATGAACCAAGCTCATTCCTATCACCAATGGAGGACTCTCTATGACCTGAGCTCATTCCCATCACCAATGGAGGACTCTCTATGAACCGAGCTCATTCCCATCACCAATGGATGACTCTCTATGATCTGAGCTCATTCCCATCACCAATGGATGACTCTCTATGAACCAAGCTCATTCCTATCACCAATGGAGGACTCTCTATGTACTGAGCTCATTCCCATCACCAATGGAGGGCTCTCTATGAACTGAGCTAATTCCCATCACCAATGGAGGACTCTCTATGAACTGAGCTCATTCCCATCACCAATGGAGGACTCTCTATGAACTGAGCTCATTCCCTTCACCAATGGAGGACTCTCTATGAACTGAGCTCATTCCCATCACCAATGGAGGACTCTCTATGAACCGAGCTCATTCCCATCATCAATGGAGAACTCTCTATGAACGGAGCTCATTCCAATCATCTAAGAATTATGGTTATTTCTAAAAAAAAAATGGCCTTAAAACTGAATATTGTAAATGGTGAAACTTTATTTTACAAAGCTGTTAACACACAATAAAATCTAAAGTAAATCTCACATAGCAGTAATAGAAAATTCATAGTTGTTAATCTTCTATTGGTTACTCCTTCCACACTCCCCATAGGTTCCTCTGAACAATAATAAGGTTGTTAGTCCACATGTGTTTTCTGGTGTTGAACAAGTGCTCGTTTCTGAGCGTAACTTTTCCCGCACTTTAAACACGGATAAGGCCGCTCACCCGTGTGAGTGATCTGGTGTCTAACAAGTTTTTCTTTCCGAGTGAAAGATTTCCCGCACACCGAACATGAATACGGACGCTCCCCTGTGTGACTTCTTTGGTGTATGAGAAGTTTTTCTTTCTGAGCAAAAGATTTCCCGCATTCTAAACATGAATAGGGACGCACACCTGTGTGAACTTTCTGGTGCTGAAGAAGGCTTCCTTTGCCCTTGAAGCTTTTCCCGCACTCTGAACATGAATAGGGACGCTCATCCGTGTGCGTTCTCTGGTGTAGAAGAAGCTTATCTTTCTGAATGAAACATTTCCCACACTCTGGACACATAAAAGGACGCTCTCCTGTGTGAATTTTCTGGTGATCATGGAAGTGTGCTTTGTGAATGAAAGATTTCCCACACTCTGAGCATGTGAAAGGATACTCACCTGTGTGACTTCTCTGGTGATTTACATATGCTCCTCTCTGAACAAAAGATTTCTCACACTCCTCACATGAATAGGGACGCTCACCCGTGTGAATTCTCTGGTGTTTAAGAAAGTTTCCTTTATCGTTGAAACTTTTTCCGCACTCTGCACATGAGAAAGGTCGCTCCCCTGTGTGAACTCTCTGGTGACTAAGAAAGTTGCCTTTCTGAGTGAAACTCTTCCCACACTCTGAACATGAGAAAGGACGCTCATTCTTGTGACATCTCTGGTGTATAACAAGCAGTCTTTTCTGAGAGAAAGATTTCCCGCAGTCTGAACATAAATAAGGGCGCTCACCCGTGTGACTTCTCCGGTGAATGGCAAGGTGTCTTTTTTCAAAGAAACTTTTGCCGCACTCTAAACAGGAATAAGGACGCACACCTGTGTGAATTTTCTGGTGACTTTGGAGGTTGCCTTTCCGAGTGAAACTTTCCCCGCACACTTGACACGAGAACGGACGCTCGCCTGTGTGGATTGTCTGGTGGTTGTAAAGGGCTCCTTTCTGAGTGAAGCTTTTCCCGCACTCTGAACATGAGAAAGGTCGTTGACTCTTGTGACCTCTCTGACGTATAGGAAGCTCTGTTGTTTCTTTGAAAGATTTTCCAGACACGGAGGACAATGAACTCTCTGCTGTCTGAACTCCTTCCTGCTTGGAAGAAGATTCATTGGGATCAGATGGCTCTGTTGGTCTCTCCGCACTCTGAGATCTCAGATGGAAGTCTGAAGTCATGTGATGTGATGGATTCGAAGATTCCTCAGGATTAGATGGATCTGTTGATCTCTCCGCACTGTGAGGACCTTGGTGGACATCTGAAGTCATGTGATGTGATTGATCAGAAGGTTCCTCAGGATTAGAGGGATCCATTGATGTCTCTGAATGGGAAGGTCTGCGATGTCTATTATGCGTGATGGGATTCACTCCCGTAGAATGTTGTGTGATGTCATCATCATCTTCTGCTTTATACTCCGAAGAGACCTTCTTCTGGACATAGTGTCCATCTGTTGGAAAACCAATTTTGATCATGTTATTTATTACTTTTCATGCCTTTTTGATACCCAATGGTGGTATTTTCTGGCATGATGCCACACCAGAGAGGCGGCGGGAGTGAAAAGAGCTGGACAAGTGGCGGCGCTACTGGTGTGGGAAAAGAGGGGCTCGGGGCTCATAGAGAACCGGGTTGACTCCTCAGTCTACGGGAGGGATGGGTTAAGTCTAAACGGGGACGGAGCAGGACTTTTGAGGGACACAATGGTTAGAAGTCTGGAGGAGCTAGAAAGTGAGGAGGACTTTGACAGAAACGTGAATGGACAGGTCACATGACCCGGCAACCCTTGTAATTATTTAAATACATTACTTTATACTCATAAATGTGAACTTTGTATTCAATTTGTGTTCATGACTTACTGAGGGCGATATGTAGAGAAGATTCCTCCTGTTCACTCTCCATCATCACCTCCCCCTCCTCCATAGACTGCTGAGCTCCTCCCACCAACATCTCTTCTTCTTCCTCTTTAACCTCAACTTTCATGTCTTCCAGTTCTTCATCCTAAAACCCCAAAAATAACATCTGGAAATTGAGTTTCCAATAATAAAATATTGTACATAGAAATCCAAATCTCATAGTTCAGTATATTCCCCGAGTTCTATTGCCCAGTCCCACCTACCTGATCATGGTGGGGGACGGTGAGATCTTCCTGTGTGGGATCCCGGGAATACAGAGGACCTCCCTCCTCCATAGACTGCTGAGCTCCACTCACCAACGTCTCTTCTTCTTCCTCTTTAATTTCAGCTTTGACGTCTTTCAGTTCTTCATCCTAAAACCCCAAAAAAGATCAAATATAACATCTGGAAAAGTAGAGCTGCCAACAATAAGAGATATAGGAGATGTCATCTCATACTTTCCAACAACTTCTGGTTTTCTCTTTCATAGACCCACCTACCTGATCATGGTGGGGGACGGTGAGATCTTCCTGGGTGGAGTCCCGGGAATACAGAGGACGGGGACATCTCTCTGGTGGGTTCCTCTTACTGGATCCATCTGTAGGAAACACACACACTGACTGAGTACATTGTTTCTATGTGTGTATCAGATGATGGGGGATGTAGGCGGAGCCTCCGTACTGCTCTCTCCTCTTACCCGGTGATGTGAGGGGCGGCTCATTCTCCATCATCGATCACCCGTCAAAAAACATTGAATTCTGTTGCTTATTTATTGAAGAATCATGTCACGAGCGTCATTTAGGCCACGCAGGGTCTCTTCTTCAGGGCAACTATGTTTGAGATGTGTCTGGTCTATAAGCTGACGGCTCTGGAACAAAATATCATGATATTACCTCATCAATCTTCAGATATCTCCACACTAATCCCTAACAAGTCATCTCTCACTCGGGAACTTCCTATTTTTAGGCTACGTCATTTCCTTTTTGTTATCTGACATCGCTTCCTGTCTGCTCATGACATCACTTCCCTTTGTTTGCGCTCTGTGCTTATAAGTGAGATCACCATCTTGTGGAGAATGTAAATAATGCAGCTTATGGTGTTCCCATCACCAATGGAGGACTCTCTATGAACTGAGCTCATTCCCATCACCAATGGAGGACTCTCTATGAACTGAGCTCACTCCCATCACCAATGGAGGACTCTCTATGATCTGAGCTCATTCCCATCACCAATGGAGGACTCTCTATGAACCGAGCTCATTCCCATCACCAATGGAGGACTCTCTATGAACTGAGCTCATTCCCATCACCAATGGATGACTCTCTATGAACTGAGCTCATTCCCATCACCAATGGATGACTCTCTATGAACCGAGCTCATTCCCATCACCAATGGAGAACTCTCTATGAACTGAGCTCATTCCCATCACCAATGGATGACTCTCTATGAACTGAGCTCATTCCCATCACCAATGGAGGACTCTCTATGATCTGAGCTCATTCCCATCACCAATGGATGACTCTCTATGAACCGAGCTCATTCCCATCACCAATGGAGGACTCTCTATGAACTGAGCTCATTCCCATCACCAATGGAGGACTCTCTATGACCTGAGCTCATTCCCATCACCAATGGAGGACTCTCTATGAACCGAGCTCATTCCCATCACCAATGGAGGACTCTCTATGATCTGAGCTCATTCCCATCACCAATGGAGGACTCTCTATGATCTGAGCTCATTCCCATCACCAATGGAGGACTCTCTATGAACCGAGCTCATTCCCATCACCAATGGAGGACTCTCTATGAACTGAGCTCACACCAATCATCTAAGAATTATGGTTATTTAAAAAAAATAAAAAAATTGACTCACAACAGAATATTGTAAATGGTGAAACTTTATTTTACAAAGCTGTTAACACACAATAAAATCTAAAGTAAATCTCACATAGCAGTAATAGAAAATTCATAGTTGTTAATCTTCTATTGGTTACTCCTTCCACACTCCCCATAGGTTCCTCTGAACAATAATAAGGTTGTTAGTCCACATGTGTTTTCTGGTGTTTAACAAGTGAATTTTTCTGAGCGTAACTTTTCCCGCACTTCGAACACGAATAAGGCCGCTCCCCTGTGTGGGTGATCTGGTGTGTGAGAAGTTTTTGTTTCCGAATGAAACCTTTCCCACACACTGAACATGAATACGGACGCTCCCCCGTGTGAATTCTTTGGTGTATGAGAAGTTTTTCTTTCTGAGCAAAAGATTTCCCGCACTCTAAACATGAATAAGGACGCACACCTGTGTGAATTTTCTGGTGCTCCAGAAGGCTTGCTTTGCCCTTGAAGCTTTTCCCACACTCTGAACATGAATAGGGACGCTCATCTGTGTGCGTTCTCTGGTGTAGAAGAAGCTTATATTTCTGAATGAAACATTTCCCGCACTCTGAACACATATAAGGACGCTCTCCTGTGTGAATTTTCTGGTGATCATGGAACAGTCTTTTGTGATTAAAACATTTCCCGCACTCTGAGCATGTGAAAGGATACTCACCTGTGTGAATTCTCTGGTGATTTACATATGCTGCTCTCTGAACAAAAGATTTCCCGCACTCCTCACATAAATAAGGGCGCTCACCCGTGTGATTTCTCTGGTGAATGGCAAGTTGCCTTTTCTGAAAGTAACTTTTGCCGCACACTAAACATGAATAAGGACGCACACCTGTGTGAAATGTCTGGTGAACTTGGAGGCTGCCTTTCCGGAAGAAACTTTTCCCGCACACTGGACACGAGAACGGACGCTCGCCTGTGTGGATTTTCTGGTGGTTATTAAGGGCTCCTTTCTGAGTGTAGCTTTTCCCGCACTCTGTACATGAGAAACGTTGTTCACCCTTGTGACCTCTCTCGGGTGTAGACACAGAGGGCAATGAACTCTCTGCTGTGTGAACTCCTTCCTGCTTGGAAGAAGATTCATTGGGATCAGATGGATCTGTTGATCTCTCCGCACGCTGAGATCTCAGATGGAAGTCTGAGGTCATGTGATGTGATGGATCAGAAGGTTCCTCAGGATTAGAGGGATCCATTGATGTCTCTGCATGGGAAGGTCTGTGATGTCTATTATGAGTAATGAGATTCACTCCCGGAGAATGTTGTGTGATGTCATCATCATCTTCTGCTTTATATTCTGAAGAGACCTTCTTCTGGACATAGTGTCCATCTGTTGGAAAACCAATTTTGATCATGTTATTTATTACTTTTCATGCCTTTTTGATACCCAATGGTGGTATTTTCTGGCATGATGCCACACCAGAGAGGCGGCGGGAGTGAAAAGAGCTGGACAAGTGGCGGCGGTACTGGTGTGGGAAAAGAGGGGCTCAGGTTCATAGAGAACTGGTTTGACTTCTCGGTCTACGGGAGGGATGGGCTGCGTGTAAACGGGGACGGAGCAGAACTTTGAAGGACACAATGGTTAGAAGGCTGGAGGACCTTGAATAGAATCGGGTATAATAGACGGAGGGCAAAGGTATAGAGGGGTGTAATATAAGGGGGGTCAATGGAGTCGGTAAGGAACTTGCATAGATACAGAAAAGAGTTGCCATTTGGGAATGACCAGCACCAATTTGGAAGGTAAGTTCACCAATGGTAGAAGTCTGGAGGAGCTGGAACGTGAGGAGGACTTTGGCCGAAACGTGACTGCACAGGTCACATGATAACATAGACACCCAGACAGGTGTGTGCAGCCAATCCCAGGAACGCCTCTGACTTGTGGCTTATGCCCTGCCATGCTCACACCATAAGCTTGGGCTTGCTTTCGGCGTCCCCCGCCGCATCCATGGGAACCGGTGACGCCGATCCCGGCGTGGACTGTATTTACAGCAATTGTTTTACCAATGGTGGGATTGTGACGTCATTAGGACGTCACATGATCGCGGCAGACTTGGGGATTGGCTTATTTCCACAGTACCTTGTGTGTGTGTATATATGTATATGGTTTCACTTTCGTTTTGCATCACTCATTTTGCCTGATGAAGGGAATCCTGTGAGACCCCCCGAAACGTTGCTTTTTGATGCATCGCGTGTCAATAAACAGACGCCATTGATTCATCACACGGAGTGCCGGTGTCCTTGTTATCATGTGATGATAGACGACTGCCGCGCCCCCGTCTTTTATATGGAACAGCGTTTTTTAGTGCGATGGGTTGATGGACTGTGGACAGGTCACATGACCCAACAACCCTTGTGATTATTTAAATACATCACTTTGTACTCCTAAATGTGAACTTTGTATTCCATTCATGTTCATGACTCACTTGTGTCCGTATGTAGAGAAGATTCATCCTGTTCACTTTCCATCATCATCTCCCCCTCCTCTATAGACTGCTGAGCTCCTCCCACCAACGTCTCTTCTTCTTCCGTTTTAATCTCAACTTTCATGTCTTTCAGTTCTTCACCCTAAAACCCCCAAAAAGTAACATCTGGAAAATTGAGTTTCCAATAATAAAATATTGTACATAGAATGTCAAATCTCATCGTTCAGAATATTCTTTTGAGTTCTATTGCCCAGTCCCACCTACCTGACCATGGTGGGGGACGGTGAGATCTTCCTGGGTGGGATCCCGGGAATACAGAGGACCTCCCTCCTCCATAGACTGCTGAGCTCCACTCACCAACGTCTCTTCTTCTTCCGTTTTAATCTCAACTTTCATGTCTTTCAGTTCTTCATCCTAAAACCCCAAAAAAGATCAAATATAACATCTGGAAAAGTAGAGCTGCCAACAATAAGAGATATAGGAGATGTCATCTCATCCTTTCCAACAACTTCTGTTTTTCTCTTTCCCAGACCCAGCTACCTGGTGATGGTGGGGGAGGGTGAGATCTTCCTGGGTGGGATCCCGGGAATACAGAGGACGGGGACATCTCTCTGGTGGGTTCCTCTTACTGGATCCATCTGTAGGAAACACACACACTGACTGAATACATTGTTTCTATGTGTGTATCAGATGATGGGGGATCTAGGTGGAGCCTCCGTACTGCTCCACAAAGTCTCCTCTTACACAGATATGGAGAACAGATGCTCCATCACGATGTCCTTGTAGAGATCATCTGACTTGATGATGGTCTACATCTCACGGTGAAGGTCTACAGACCCTCAATCATCACTCCATATACCTGAATAGTTTCTGTATTAATGTCCATTACTCACCTTTGATGGTATCTAGAGAAGGTTCCTCTTGTTTGATGGCTTCCCTCATCTCATGTGACATAGAACTGTGACCTGTTCCCTCCATAGTGTCTGTTACTTACTTGTGTTGATCGGTAGAGAAATGTCATCCTGATCACTTTTCATCATCATCCCGACCTCCTCCGTGGACGGCCGGTCACCCCCCACATACGTCTCCACTGCTTCCTCTTTAACCTCAGCTTTGATATTGTTCCGTTCTTCACCCTAAACCCCAAAAATAATAGAAAACATCTCATAAAGCTGAACTCCGGGGAGATAGAAAAGACACAAAGGAATGCAGCTCTGTATTTGTTAATTTATTTTGTATGTCAGCAATGTAGAGTAACTACGGGAATGTGACCTGGTGTCATCCTCCCGCAAAGTTCAGATTGACTTCTGTGTTCTATACACCGATTCCCACCTACCTGGTGATGGTGGGGGAGGGTGAGATCTTCCTGGGTGGGATCCCGGGAATACAGAGGACGGTGACATCTCTCTGGTGGGTTCCTCTTACTGGATCCATCTGTAGGAAACACACACACTGACTGAATACATTGTTTCTATGATGTAGACGTGATCTCACTTGATGATGTGAAGGTCTACAGATCCTCAATCATCAGTCCAATCCATATACATGAACGGTTTCTGAATGTTTATTACTCACTTGTGTTTATATCTAGAGAAGTTTCCTCCGGCTTAGTTGTCACCATCATCCAGACCTTCTCCATAGTCTGCTGATAATTCATCACAGACGTCTCTTCTTCCTCTTTAACCTCAACTTTCATATCCCTTCGTTTTTCATGCTAAACCAACAAAATTACAGTAAATATCTTTCAATTGTGGGCACTGATCACCTAAAACATACAGAGGAATGTAATATCAAAGTCTAGAGTGACTACTTGGTCCTCAGTCCCATCTACCTGATCATGGTGGGGGAGGGTGAGATCTTCCTGGGTGGAGTCCCGGGAATACAGGGGGCGGGGACATCTCTCTGGTGGGTTCTGGGGGCGGGGACATCTCTCTGGTGGGTTCCTCTTACTGGATCCATCTGTAGGAAACACACACACTGACTGAATACATTGTTTCTATGTGTGTATCTGAATCTAGGTGGACCCGTCGTACTTAAGTCTGCTTTATAATATATTTGAGGGAGATGTAGACGTGATCTCACTTGATGATGTGAAGGTCTACAGATCCTCAATCATCAGTCCAATCCATATACATGAACGGTTTCTGAATGTTTATCACTCACTTGTGTTTATATCTACGGAAGTTTCCTCTGGCTTAGTTGTCACCATCATCCCGACCTTCTCCATAGTCTGCTGATAATTCATCACAGATGTCTCTTCTTCTTCCTCTTTAACCTCAACTTTCATATCCCTTCGTTTTTCATGCTAAACCAACAAAATTACAGTAAATATCTTTCAATTGTGGGCACTGATCACCTAAAACATACAGAGGAATGTAATGTCCAGAGTGACTACTTGACCCTCAGCCCCACCTACCTGATCATGGTGGGGGATGGTGAGATCTTCCTGGGTGGGGTCCCGGGAATACAGGGGGCGGGGACATCTCTCTGGTGGGTTCCTCTTACTGGATCCATCTGTAGGAAACACACACACTGACTGAATACATTGTTTCTATGTGTGTATCAGGTGATGGGGGATGTAGGTGGAGCCTCCGTACTGCTCTCTCCTATTACCCGGTGATGTGAGGGGCGGCTCATTCTCCATCACCACGTCCTTGCAGAGATCCCGGTGTCCTCCTAGATACTCCCACTCCTCCATCATCGATCACCAGTCAAAAAACATTGGATTCTTTTGCTTATTTATTGAAAAATCATGTCACGAGCGTCATTTAGGCCACGTTTCGGGGTCACGCAGGGTCTCTTCATCGGGGTTTAAGATGTATCTGGTCTATAAGCTGAGGGCTCTGGAACAAAATATCATGATATTACCTCATCTATCTTCAGATATCTCCACACTAATCCCTAACAAGTCATCTCTCACTCGAGAAACTTCCCACTTTTAGGCGACGTCATTTCCCTTTTGTTATCTGACATCGCTTCCTGTCTGCTCATGACATCACTTCCTGTCTGCTCATGACATCACTTCCCTTTGTTTGCGCTCTGTGCTTATAAGTGAGATCACCATCTTGTGGAGAATGTAAATTTTGCAGCTTATGGTGTTCTTCTGTGCGTCAAAAGCTGCGTCACGGCTCAGTCCTCACTTTTGTTGAATATGTTTCACCTCAAACAAAACCCGGAGATTAACTAAAAATAATAAAAACAATATTTTGAATTTTAAATGCTTTTATAAATATAGACAGGGCCTTTTGGGGGGCGGGGGAATTTAAAAAAATGTTTTGTTTGTTTGTTTTTTTTCATTTTATGCTTCTTTAATTTTTTTTTATTAGTTTTTTGTTGTTTTTTTTACACTTAGCAATAAAGTTATCACATGGGGGGAAGAAGCTCCCTAAGCGATAGCCAGTTTACATGACAGGTCCTCTTTATGGAGACATCAGCGGTCTCCCAGACCCCCTAATGTCACCTAGGGACCCCTCAGAGATCAGAGGCATGGAGCAGACATCTGCTTCACCAGCTTCTCCCCGCCTTCTGTAGCTTCCTGCATTCGGGGACCGGAGAGGAGATCGTAGGGGAGATTGTGTGCTGATCTCCCAGCCGCGCCGGTCCCGGCCTGCACCGGTTCACAGCCGATCTCGGGATCGGCAACAGCATTGAGAGCGCAGGGGGGACCGCAGCTAATACAAGCTATCGGGCTGGCATGTAAAGCTCCTAGCCGGCCGTTTCATTACAATCGTCGGCCGGGAAGCTGCTCGTCTCTGGCTCTGGCGTCCTCTCGTCTGCGAGCGGATTTTTCAAGCCCTGAATATATGTATTGTGGCAATGCCAGGGTGTAGTATGGCGACTATGGCACCCAGGACTCTCGGCCAGAGGGGCTGAGAGGGTCCAGAATGTGAACCATTTTATAAGGAAGAACCTGGCCTTGCAGATTCTTCCGGGTTTTCCTAACTGTAGCCGGGATCTGGAGCTCTGGGTGGGATGAGATCTCCAGTCCCGGGGTCAGGTGTTGCCTGGGCTGATCAGGTGGCTGAGAGCAGCCGCATTAGGAAGCCGGCCCAGAGCTTAGAGGAGAGTCGTGGGTGTGCAGGAGGGGGCACATATCCACAGGCCGACCACGCTGTGTGCGCGAGCACAAGTGACACAGCCAGGAAGGCTGGGAGTGGTCCAGAGGGTCGGGGACCCTGAGAGACTGAGAGAGACAGTGACCCACGAGGGGTGAATACCGAAACCGCTCGGAGCTGAGGAAAGCTGCTGAGCAATACTTAGCAGAAATACGGTAAAGTCCTGGGACTATCACACAAGGAGTGTATGGGACAGACAAGAGGTCGGTGAGACCAAAATACAACGTTTTGATGAAAGTCCAATGAACTGTTCTGTTTGAGTCATGCTGAAGAAAGGCGAGTCATGTGGTGAAGTTCATGGACTGCTGACCTCTGAATGAAGACCGTCCTTGTATGTTAAAGTCGGCTTCAGGAGTGGTCACTTAGCCGACCGATGAGTGGAAATGGATCTTCTGGAATCTGAAAGCTTCTGATGATGACTTCCATATCACCGATGAAGATAATGATTGTGAAACCCAACCTTCTGGACTCTCTATGATCTGAGCTCATTCCCATCACCAATGGAGGACTCTCTATGACCCGAGCTCATTCCCATCACCAATGGATGACTCTCTATGAACCGAGCTCCAATGGAGGACTATCTATGATCTGAGCTCATTCCCATCACCAATGGAGGACTCTCTATGAACCGAGCTCCAATGGAGGACTCTCTATGAACCGAGCTCATTCCCATCACCAATGGAGGACTCTCTATGAACTGAGCTCATTCCCATCACCAATGGAGGACTCTCTATGAACCGAGCTCATTCCCATCACCAATGGAGGACTCTCTATGACCTGAGCTCATTCCCATCACCAATGGAGGACTCTCTATGAACTGAGCTCATTCCCATCACCAATGGAGGACTCTCTATGAACTGAGCTCATTCCCATCACCAATGGAGGACTCTCTATGAACTGAGCTCATTCCCATCACCAATGGATGACTCTCTATGAACCGAGCTCATTCCCATCACCAATGGAGGACTCTCTATGAACCGAGCTCATTCCCATAACTCATCATCTAAGAATTCTGGTAATTTGTAAAAGAAAAACACGACTCAGAACAGAACCTTGTAGTCTGGAAGATGTTTTATTTCTTTTACAGAATAAGAATAATTGAGTAACACAAAATAGAAGAAAAATAAAAAAACGTTTAATGGTAATTTTGCCAGTTTCTTAAACAAAAAGAACAATGTGAAGAAGTAGCCAATATCAACCAAAAGTGAGTGTTGTCCGTGTATTTCCATACATGGTCATATATTAGCACTTTTTAGTTGTATGGGGCCGTCTGTGCGGGAAAAGTCAGCACTGTGTGTTTAGAGAAGATTACTAGAACGGAATCCGCACAGACCAATAACTATCACATCACGGGTCTAAAACGTCATATTTTTTTTAATCCTGTCCCCAAATACACCAAATTGAACATAAAAAGAGTATCAACCTGTGTCAGCTTACTGTTGCGCAATAAGTGGCTTTCTGTAATTGAAATGTTTTCTGCATTCTGAATATAAGAAAGGACGTTCACTTCTGTTATTTTTTTGCCATGCTCCCCATAAAAGGTTTGTTAGTCCATGTTAATTCTCTGGTGTAGAACAGATGGACTTCTCTGGCAAACATTTCCCGCACGAAAGACATACCTAAGAACTCTCACCTGTGTGACTTCTTTGGTGCCTACGAAGCTGTCCTTTCTGAATGAAACATTTCCCACAATCTGAACATGAATAAGGACGTTCACCCGTGTGAATCATCTGGTGTCTAAGAAGGTCTGCTTTCTGAGTGAAACATTTTCCGCACTCTGAACATGAGAAACAACGTTCTCTGGTGTGACTTCTCTGGTGTCGATAAAGGCATGCTTTGCGATAGAAACTTTTCCCGCACAATGAACATGAAAAAGGACGCTCTCCTGTGTGGCTTCTCTGGTGTCTAATAAGGTCTATTTTCCTATAGAAAGATTTTCCGCACTCTGAACATGAGAAAGGGCGCTCGCCTGTGTGAATTCTCTGGTGTTTAAGAAGCTCTCCTTTCTGAGTGAAAGATTTGCCGCACTCTGGACATGAGAAAGGACGCTCGCCCGTGTGTATTCTCTGGTGTTGAAGAAGTACTTGTTTTGTAGAGAAACACTTTCCACACACTGCACATAAATATGGACGCTCGCCTCTGTGACCTTTCTGGTGCTTAACAAGGCCTCCTTTTCCAATGAAACTTTTCCCGCACTCCGTACAGAAAAAAGGGCGCTCACCCGTGTGGCTTTTCTGGTGACTGATGAGATCTCCTTTGTGAATGAAACATTTATCACACTCTGAACAAGAGAAAGGACGCTCACCCGTGTGAGTTCTCTGGTGTTTCAGAAGGTGCCCTTTTCTAATGAAACATTTTCCGCACTCTGAACATGAAAAAGGACGCTCGCCCGTATGAGTTCTCTGGTGAATAAGCAGATCTGCTTTCTGAATGAAACCTTTCCCACACTCTGGACATGAATATGGACGCTCACCTGTGTGAAGTCTCTGGTGTCTAATAAGACCTACTTTCTCGGTGAAACTTTTCTCGCACTCTGAGCACGAGAAAGGACGCTCACCCGTGTGGCTTCTCTGATGTCTGAGAAGCTGTCTTGTTGTTTTGAAAGATTTCCCGCACTCTGAACATGAGAATGAACTCTTTCCTGTGTGATCTCCTTCATGGCTTACAGAAGACTCCTCAGGATTAGAGGGAGCCATTGATGTCTCTGAATGGGAAGGTCTGTGATGTCTATTAGGAGTAATGGGATTCACCCCGGGAGAATGTTGTGTGATGTCATCATCTTCGGCATTACAATTGGAAGCTACAGTAGAATGCCGATCAGATCTTCTCCTATTCCGGACATCACGTCCATCTGTAGGAAATCAATTTTTTGCAAAAAATGAGTAGGTTTCATATGTTTACTTCGGTCAGACGGTCACAAGAAATAGTAAGTACCCCCCCTCCCCTCTGGAAATTGTTCACGTCTTTGAATGGACAAATATCAGTTCCTCCAGATGAAGGTGATCTATGGCCATACAAGAACATGGGACCTTTTCAATAATAATATCAACAGATGTCATGGTGCGGAAAAGGTAAATACACCCTGGGCCTCAGAATCCAATCTTGCCCCTCTGTAGAATAAATTATCTCTTGTAGGCATTTTGCCCTCCCGTCTCTGGGAAATGTTCGACCGCTTTCCCGTACAAAACTCTTTCCTTTGCCAAGATCTTTGTGAGTTTTCTTGCAGGAACTGCCCATTTGAAAATCTCCTCCTCATTTGTTGGTCACATGACGTTATATTGAGGGTTGGAGATGGACCTTCATATGGTGTACAGTATCTCCTCCTCATTTGTTGGTCACATGACGTTATATTGAGGAATGGAGATGGACCTTCATATGGTGTCCAATATCTCCTCACTTAATGGAAACAATGGCCAGTGTTGTACTATGATTATTTTCTTCTCGGAAGGACTAGATTTTGTGATATATTCCATGCAGGTGTCTTTCTTCAAGTCATGTAACAATCTAAATACAATATTTCGTGTTTATGACTCACTTGTGTCCGTATGTAGAGAAGATTCCTCCTGTGTACTTCTCACAATCATCTCTCCCTCCTCCATGGACTGCTGAGCTCCACTCACCAACATCTCTTCTTCTTCCTCTTTTATCTCAACTTTGATGTCTTTCAATTCTTCATCCTAAAACCCCAAAGATGATAGAACACATTTATAAAAAGGAAGAAGAGATTAGATAGAAGAATGTCCTCTCTTATCTTAGCATGTTTTAGTTCTATTACTCAGTCCCATCTACCTGATCATACTGAGGGTTGTGATCTTCTTGTGTGGAATCCCGGGAACATGGAGGAACATCCTCCTCCATAGATTGATGATCCTCCCTCTGGAATGTCTCTTCTTCTTCTTCCTCTTTAACTTCAACTTTGATGTCTTTTAGTTCTTCAGCCTAAACCCCCAAAGATGAAGGAATGCATTTGCAAAAAGAAACAAGAGACTTCTTGGCTAGAAGACATTTCAGGTCTATTTGCTCAGTCCCACCTACCTGATCCTATGGACAGTTGGATAAATGGCTCTATATTTAGGATGTATCCGGTCTATAAATGGCGGCTCTGGATGGACAGTTGGATAAATGGCTCTATATTTAGGATGTATCCGGTCTATAAATGGCGGCTCTGGATGGACAGTTGGATAAATGGCTCTATATTTAGGATGTATCCGGTCTATAAATAGCGGCTCTGGATGGACAGTTGGATAAATATAAAATAATATCTTCTTACCTCTCCTCTGCTGCCAGTTCCAGCAATGTCCCCTCTCTTCTTCCTCCCAACTCGCCTCTCGCTCTGTACTTCCTATTGATATGTGACATCACTTCCTGCCTGTGCGTTCCACTGACACTATGTGAAATCCCGTCCTTGTGGAGAATGGGAACACTGCAGCCCGCGTCACATACACTTGTGCAGGACAACATTGGTCTTCGGTGATTATTTTATGTCTTTTTGTTTTGGTGCGTCGGTAGAAAATCTGACTTTTTGTTCTCGGCGTTCCTTGAAGGACACGATGGAGAATTTCTAGCAGTGGTCCCTATGGTCAGAGTTTCAAGATCTCCACTGAGTCCCTCAATAAGAGAAAGCTTTATTCCCATTGGGACCAGAAGACATCCAGCACACCGCTATGAGCTCAGAATTGGTGGAACCCTCTGAGACTTTGGTGCACCCATCCAGAATGTGGAGAGGAGTTACCAGAACAACGTTCCTCCGAGGCGGGAACAAGGCCAAAAGACTCATCGATACTCAAATATACAAAGAATGGGGAGATTGGCGGCACATGATCTGGACTGATGGGTCCTAATGTGGAATTTTTGGCGGTTTGTCCTGGAAGGGTCTGGAGAACGGTCCATGGAGGAATGCCTGCGGCACAGTGGGGGTGGGGTTACATTTCCAAAAAATAGAATTAGTGTTATGGTGAAAATGTATTTCCTCCTTTACTGCTGAGAGGTCCGGGCAGATCCATCAGTGGAGGTCTGATTAGTCCCAAATTAATTCTGCACCCCACTGTCATCACCCACCATACCTGCACCCCCGTCTCATGACCACCCAACATGCCTACACCCTCTTCTCATGACCACCCAACATGCCTGCACCCCCTTCCAATGACCACCCAACATGCCTACACCCCCTTCTAATGACCACCCAACAGGCCTGCACCCTCTTCTCATGACCACCCAACATGCCTACACCCCCTTCCAATGACCACCCAACAGGCATGCACCACCGTCTCATGACCACCCACCATGCCTACACCCTCTTCTCATGACCACCCAACATGCCTACACCCCCTTCCAATGACCACCCAACAGGCATGCACCACCGTCTCATGACCACCCACCATGCCTACACCCTCTTCTCATGACCACCCAACATGCCTGCACCCCCTTCCAATGACCACCCAACAGGCCTGCACCCTCTTCTCATGACCACCCAACAGGCCTGCACCACCGTCTCATGACCACCCACCATGCCTACACAACGAAAAAACATAAGCGCACAACTGATAATTGGTTACTGGAAAAAACACGGGCTATGAATTATGGTGTGCAGGCTCTCACTAGCAGGGAGAGGACCCTGCAAATTCGAATGGTAAACAGAAAAACACAAGAAAGAGCGCTACTACCTGATATTGAATGGCATCTATTCATGAGAGAAGGAACAAATATATATGACTTACAGTTGGAAGTCTGCAAATGTGTCGAGGATGGTGAAACAAGGAACGGTGTACAGAGGAAGTCCAAGAACAAAATACTGCAGCAGTGGATGGATGAGGGAGCGCTGTGAAGTTACCTAGCGGCACGCGTGCACGGCTGGCCAGGCCGGGCCACGGCGGCTGAGGGGGGAAGGACCGCGGCGGTTGTGGAACAGGGACCGCCAGCGGCTGTGTTCGGTGCGTGTGTAGTGGAGTCAAATCGATGGGCAAAGTAGACGCTGTGCACAGACGGGCTCGCTGTATCGTGATGACTACGCGTTTCGAGGCACAACCTCTTTGTCAAGTCTTCGGGCTTTTAGCGCTCTTTCTTGTGTTTTTCTGTTCACCATGCCTACACCCTCTTCTCATGACCACTCAACAGGCCTGCACCCCCGTCTCATGACCACCCAACAGGCCTGCACCCCCGTCTCATGACCACCCAACAGGCCTGCACCCCCGTCTCATGACCACCATCAT